AGGTGTCAAATAGGGCTAATATCGACGAGGCGACGACTAAGTTTAATGGCTAACGTTAACCCTAGGTAATAATAATAATAGGTATATTTCTCAGAAAGGTGAGACACGTTCCAGAGACCCTGGACCGATCATTATGTACAGGACCGATCATTATGTATGTACGTACCCAGCCACCGATTCTACCTACTAACTCAAGCATCTGAAGCAAAATACCTTCGATAGAGGCGATTTCACCTCCGCTTACATTTGTTCTTCGAACTAAATCGCTAATGAACACACCATACAATTATGCGACGGCTTGCTGTCGCAATATTATTCCGTCCGGATTTGAACACGGTATTTTTATCACTATATATATATATATATATCTATATATTAGATTGCTTCTGTCGTAGTCTGGGGATTAGCAATGCGGAACATGTAATGCGGAATGGAGCGGGACATCAGCTCTTATTAGTTAAATAAACAATTGCTCATAACACTGCGTTATGCTGCTCAATGACAGGAAACTGTCTTTGAGTCATCTGCATCGATTCACGCAATCCTGGATATTAAATGAACCCGCTAATAACTAGTCATTTTGCAACCAGATTACCTACGATCTGTAATAATGAAGAGCGTTGATTCAACGTAGACGGTTTATTTATTCTGCGTACGCAATCTTTTGCTGGTTTGTGCATCACCGAGATTCCATCAGAGCTGCCTTTATTAATTCTCTGGCGGTTGTTTTCCATCGTCGAACACGTCTCTGAATTTTCGGTGTCCTGCCTTCGCCCTCAGTTTCGGCAGTACTTGTCGTTCGCTGAGACCCCCTGACTGTTTCGAATGCCGCTTCTGAGGGTAGCTTCAAATAAACCCTTTTTTGCACACTGGCACTGCCACTGGGTTTGGTTACTTTGTGAGAGGAAATGTTGTATGCATCGACTTGCAGGAAAAAATCTTCCACCTCTTCAGCCGTTAAACACGGTAACTGACGTTTCCGATGTGGGAGATTTGATTGTCTCCAGTTGTCAGACCGGTCAGGCATCTTCACCGAAAGTTGACCTGGTTGTATTAGAAATAGCATGGGATCAGTTACTTTTGTTCTGCAACATGAGCATTGGCTTTATTCTAAATGCTTAGTTCACACATAGTAAAGTCAATGTAGATTGGTCAAACTATGCAACATCTTTGATAAGCTCAATGGTAACTGGGGAAAAGGGTTCACGTACTCCTAAATCGAATAAATATGAAGTATTGTTGTGAATTATCATGAAAAATTTAAGTAGTACCTTCCAGTGAAAGCATGGAAATCTCCCTAAACATCGTCGTGAAAATCTAGGTAAATGGCATCTGCTCCCAAATTTAACTGATTTTAGTAAACTGAACGCTTCCATCTAATCATATCATGGCAAATTTTGATTCATTATTCTTCACCGTCACATTAATAGTTTATTTAACAGATGCACATGTTAGGCGGAACAACCTATCTGTAATTTCACGCCGACTCAGAAAACCCTCAGTTGAATTCAAAAGCGGCAACCTTAAAAGAGGAATGTGATAGGTTATCCAACCACCCTTTCCCGTATGCAGCTTGATGACAATTAAGCCCTACTTCAGAAGTGTCAAGTATAACCAGTTAGATTACGTCCAACGAGCGTGTTGGTACATCAATGGAGTTGTCCCTCCACGCATTCGCGTACTCGTTTTAAATTTACAAATCAACGGTGCTCCAATCCCGAAACTCACTTGCTTGGTCATTTGGTTGTCTGTGATTTTACTGGATCTGCCCCCCACAGGGAAGTACACCACAGGTCTAGTCAACAGAGGAAAAGTTCGAACCGTACAGCCTGAACTAATGATGCACTTTACAGCTACGCACTGTGGAGCCGATATATCAAAAAGTTTGAGTTCAATTTGATAATCTTCACTACGTCTGTCTAGATACGCAGTTAATGATGCTGGAAGATATCGAAAGTCTCCCCTTAAAGTTGGATGAACCTACCACACAGAAACAATTTGAATACCTTCTATGACATCCTGAATAAGCCAAGTGAGGTGTATGCATATCCGAACTTGTCGTATAAATTGGAATCAATGATTTTATCAACTTGATGCATCCTGTGGGTGAAAGTAAACGTAAATCCGTGTACCTCATAGCTGAAACCAAACGAAGAACTGTGTGATCCCGGACACACTTGGGCGGTAGACTGAACTTGACCATTCTCTACCAAACTTCCAATATATTTTCCCACTGGTTTATTGAGAAAACAATCATAGTACTTAGAAGCACACAAGACGGGGAACGCAACTAGGTATGAAGGGCCGTAAATCAAAACAAATCCTTAATGAATATTCCATGGGTAATTTAAAGCATACCAGTCACAACCCATTTGGTAAATGAAGCGCTTGAAAGGATGCGTTACGTACCTGCGCTGCCCTCCGTAGACATACTCAGATAAACGGTGTCTCAAACTTGAGCGACGTTTAACTTGATTTCACTCGCCTCATGATACGTTCTTATCCAATCGTTGACCGACTGGAGTAGGAGTCCGAGCTAATGGACGAGTGCGTGACCAGTAATTGGGTCACATGACTTATGTCAACTGACGTAACAACTCAGTTTCATGATAAGACCAAGTGTTGATCGTTAATTTGATCCAATCTCTATTATTAACTTCATTCAGCGGATACGATGAGGGTCATCTTGAAGTGGCCGATGGACTAAATGACCCGTCAATTCTTACCTGATGTGGATTCACCGAGAATGTCTTATCTTTGTCACCATAATTAACACCAATTCTTTCGTCTATTGCTGCGTGACTTGTATACACCAGTTAAGCCGTTTATGCATCACACTGCGGTATCGTACGAGAGATATCAGCAGTAGCTTAATGTCGAAGCACACAATCAGTATCTAAACCTTTCACAAACCAGTTTTACTGTGAACATTGGGTAGGGTTTGCACATCAGGTATCTTCTTATTAGCTGTACTTGTTAGTACACTGTGGGAAAGAGTACGACGAACCTAAGATTATGCTTTATGATTGGGAGACCCAACAGACAGCCACGGATGCTTCAGTGAGCAATACCTAGGCGACAGTTGGAATCCATTAAGGTTGCACGAAACTTACGGGGAGGTGATAAACATGCGCCTCCAATATGATCATGTTTGCGATAAATACATGTTGAGTTCACAGCGTTTCCGGAAGTCATCGCACTGGTTGTGTTACTCTCTAAGCAAAGCGTAACACCTGGTCCTGAAAGTATGGCTAGAAGTATGCACTGGTCTCTGTCAACAACAACAACAACAGTAGCATTTCATCGAACAGCAGCATTGTCGTGACTGACAGTATGCCCAGATGGCTGTAATCGGCTCCAGCTCCATAAAAGACACTTGGCTGTGATGACGCGTCACATGCTGTGTAAGCAAATGACAGAAAAATACTTATTTTGTACACTTCAGACTAGCAAAAGTTGCATAAAGAGACGGCCTCGTTGACGAGGGAAAGATGTAGGTGAATATCGTGTTATATGATAGATAGCAATGTCAAACCTGTATCGTTCATACGACACGAGTTGTTATGGTGCAGATGTCTGTTCATAATTAAAATCGGATATCTATTGGCTAAAAAACCCGAACATTCAAAGATGCATAACTGGTCAAGTGACGTCACCGACCAATGATCCTCGTCGCTACTATGATATCTAAACAATTACTAGATAATGTAGAACTTCGGTTTTCAAAATGTAACCGCACCGGAAGTGATATGCATCCGAAATGTTCTACTCTGTACCGTTGATTTGTACACGTATTTGAGATTATCAGCTTCCCGTCGATAGCGCTTACCCCGATTCGCAGAATATTTCGGTTGGAGGATAGTCTCCGTTTCACTCTTAGTTTCGCAGCGCCAGAGAACACAAAACTGACACAAGAATCGCAGATGCGCATATGAGAAGCGGATGGTTACACGGCTGCACAGCAACCTTTGTAGGTTCAAAGTAGGACGGGGGAAATGAAGTGAAAGTGATATACCGGGAAGAGACAAACATAAGCCATAGAGGGTAATACAACAACGTAAGAACTACAGTAGAGTTTATTACTAAAGTCTTAAAAACTAGGTAATTCTCAAATAAGCTGTATTCCCTAGCAAGCAGAACAAGCAATACCCATCAGGCGAGAATGAGATGGATGACATTTAAGACTCTGTTAATGTGTAGACTTGATTTGAGTAGATGCGGTGGAGACAAACTGATGCAGGATCCATGAGTCTCCCAGATGCAAATTTCGTGTGACATCCGTGTCTCAAGGTTATCCATAAATTTTGTTACGCTAATACAAGTGGTAACAAGGTTCGAACTCAACCTGTCTAAAGAAATGCAACTGATCTCTCAATGATGCGTTATATAATATATATATATACATATATATATATATAATAGTATGTGGATGGTTGCCAATAGGAGCAATAAATTTTAAGTCAGGGTATAAAGAGATTACCCGAGACGCTGCTCAGCTTTGTAACCTCTAATGATCTAGACAACGGACGCGGTAGCTAGCATGGGAGTAACAATCTCAACTGGGTCATTTTGACTTGTAAAAAGCATTTCCGGAACACAACGCTAAACCGGTTCGTGCATAAGTCGGGTGCCAGGATTCATTGACAAGTGAACCTGTCATAGTTTACACTTGCAATCGCTATCAGGTGTATTTATTTTTGAGAAGTAAGATTAGTTTTTTGCATTACTTGTGGAGCTTAATGTACGGACTGTGAAGTACGCGATGCATTAGCCCCATTATGCCCGGATGCGCACATGTTAGCACCAGTGCCTGGTTGAGCAGACCCATATTTATGTTTGATAAGTGCCACCTCGTATGAACACCTAGCGACTAATGAGATCAGAATATGAATGATACCGAAATAACGTCATCGTCCATCATTTTAGGTCACATTGGTTATATGGTGTAACTTAAATTTATTGCTTGAACCACTGCTTGTGCGGTGGAAACATGGAGACCCTAGAGGATATAGCCCAGACACTGAGTCAGTGTCGCTCTTTGAGTCGTTATTTTATATTCCCTAGGATTAGAAGCATGTGCCAGCCATTTACAGGACACAGAGGCCATGCATGGCTTCACTCGGAAGGTAGGAGTCTTCCGGTCAGGGCAAGTTTCGATTACTTTTCTTGGAAACTATAATAAGCTGTCCTCCAGATTAGGACAATACTTTCATCCCTGCAAGTAAAAGGCCAGAGCTTAAAGCTGATAAAAATAAACGCTTGTTCAGCAGCAAGTCATCTGAAAAAGACAGTTCTATTTATTGTAAGACTGATATAAACAGTCAAAGCGCAGGCAAGTCAACCAAATATATCAAACGTAATCTACGCGAGAGGTTGTACACGTAACAGCGAATATCCGTGAGAAAAAGATAGATGTCACAACCACATTAACAGACGTGACTGTTGATTGAAATCGTTCATCCAATGTCTGGAGCCATTCCCGAGTGTGACTTGCGACACTGAGTGCGAACGCGTAGGTGAGTTGCACGCATACAGAGAGAATAGAGTTGGACAAATGCGAACTCTATTAAAAATGTGTATGGCATTCAAAACGACGTTCAACAACCCAGGTGAAGTACTCGATATTGCTTCGTTAGATTTTATGTCCAGTTCTTGATTGAAAGGATCTCGATCTACTTACGCATTCAGCAGTGCGGGCGCTGACACTCTGTTACTTGCTTGAAAGGAAGTAATACTGTACGTCCAGGTCGCATGCACCACCTTGCTGGCATGGTTAAACAGTTACAGCTGCATCATCTGCTGCCCACTTGTTCTGGACCCTTCAATCTTTCAAAAGCATTCGACCTGTCCGAACGCGCCTATGTATTCGTGTTTGAACTTTTTGAGCATGGTGTCAAACCTTCGCCTCATTTTATGGTTCCATCATTAGTTCAATCATATGTTGTGGCACAGCCAAACACAGTCTACCGGTTTATCGTTCTCCAACCGATGCCTGTCCACTACAAAGTATAAAGAGCTTGTTATAACCATTTTAACAATTACTCATTACGTCGCTGATACGGAGGTCTATTGGACCACTATATGAACAACGCGGAACCATCGTGTGATAAACAAGTACATCCCATAAAATTGATTCGCGTAGCCCATAACCGCACTTAAAACTAGTATTCCTATGGTGCTGCTTTGGGTGACTACTATACCTACATGACGCGATCAAATAACTTCGCGTCACATTGTGAAGTGCAGTATTTTCGGGAAAATAACACCCATTATCTACCTGCTTTATAAGTTACGATTCTAGTGATCAATCTGATCTAGGTACACATTGAGATTGCGCGTCGCAATCCGTTCGCAGAGTGTATGCTACAAATTGACCCAGTAACAAATAAATAGACGATTTATTTCTCGAGAGTGCTAGCCTATTGCTAGATGACACCTGAGTATTTGGTATTCCACCTGCAAACGTAACGGACCTAACCGGAGCGTGTTTTGGTATGGAAGCAAAATTTGGTAAATCGAATTGTTCACTTGGTTGTCAAACTGTCCGCTGTGTCTCGTAAATGTTATTTCGGATGTTTTATCACCTGGGGATGGCGAAACATTGGCAACAGAGTTGTCAGTCTCGATGAATATTTTGTACGAAAAAATGTACCTTGTTTGATAGGTCAACTAAATCAAACAATAAGCTTGATGGATTAGAAAGCAAAAGGTCCTTGCACCTGATTATCTAGGATAGAGAGCAATACGCAGTCTTGTTTGGACTAAATGTCAGACAATGTTAGCTTAAATCCCGTCGGTTAGCAGGGAGATCTCTGATTACAAATGCTTGGTTGAGTCCATTGCAATGATCCGAGTACAGCCGTACAAGTTGAAGAAACGCGCAAAAACGAGGTAGAAAATTTAGACAACGGTACCTACAGTGATTTACCAGAAAAGTTGACAGTTACTTGCAAGATACCACAACTGACTTTGCGCGTTGCTTATGTTATGTAATATGACCAACCAATGAAACAGATTTTCCGTGACCCATTTCCAAGAAAAGGGCTAGTTAGATTTGTCAGAGTTTGATGTGGTTCTTCGAAGTCGAGTGCTGACAAACCAAAAATCGTAACAAACCACATGCATCATAAATAAACCGTATACGTCGTGATTAGTGTGTATGCAGTGATTTCATCCAGGCCAGGGTAGCCGACCCGGTTTCAGCGGACTGTGATTAAATTTGGACTAGTTTGAAATGTTCATCAAGCTATGGGGCTGTGCGGTAGTGAATTCGAAACGCTAATGGCGAATAAATAACGCGCAATTTACAGGAATCACCGAGAGGATTGTAGCAGCACAGACGTACGTATTTACGCCTTTTTTAATAGGTGTCTGATATAGTTCAATGTATCATCTGTACAAACGTTTTCATATTACGTACCACTGTGTCACCAGGTCATCTTTAAATAGTTATATGGGGGCATTCATTACTTGTGCTGGTAAGAAGTTTGAGGCTTGGGA